TTTTCTCACACAAAGTCCTTCTTCGCCCGTGTTTTTCTTTGTTCGCGCTGGCAGCGATCGTTCGCTTGCTTGGTGAGGAAGCAGATTTACTTAGTCAGGCATTCATGTATCTTTTCTTTTGTGTGGTCCGTAATATTTGCTTGCGCGTGAAGGATCTTTCGCGTGCTTGAGATCATTTTCGGTATCGGTAGTTTTTTTTTTTTTTTTTTTGTCTCTCTCTGTCCTTGTTTCGGTCTCCCGCGGGGTAGGTGGGGGGGTTGGTAGCTCGAGGGAGAGGTAGGTATATATATATATATATATATATATATATATATATATATATATATATATATATATATATATATATATATATATATATATATATATATATATATATATATTATATATATATAGAAATGAATTTGACAGGTCCAATGGGCTAATTGATGAAGTATGATGGGCCGGAAGAAATCAATCAATTAGGCCCATATAAAAAGAAAATAAAAAAGAAATTAAAAAATTCAGAGGCGAACAAAACAAATAGTAGTAGTAGTAGGAGGACAAAAGAAGAGGTGAAAAAGAGACGAAAAAAGAGCACCAGAAATGTGTTTTGTCGTCTTTAAATATTATTATTGTATCCTACTCATCAACTCAAAACGTTTCGTCTGCCGGAACAATCTTGAACCCCACCCCCACCCACCCACCCACCCACCCACCATACCCCACCCCAAGAAAATAAAACAATGAAATAATTAAATACCAGCAATAAATGAGCAAGGGCATCAGCACCAACAAAAAAATGTATTTGTTGCAAGAAGAAAGAAAATGGAAATATGGGAGTAAAAGCACAATTTATCATGGAATATGAAACATTACATGAATAAATCAAAGTAAATGTTGGGAAGAAAAAGATAATAATAATAAAGTATAGGCATGAATCAGACAGACATGTTACAGGTCAGAGTATAAATGTCACTCCTTTTTATAGTAAAAAATAAATAAAAAAATACAGTTATTGTCAAAGATTGAGAGAAAGGTACCTGGAGAGGAAAAGATTAAAGAAAAGGTCTCTGCTTATTTCTGAGTAAGAAAATGACTATAGGTTGTTGGGGGGTGGGTGATAGGGGGGGGGGGGGGGGTGGCTCTCGTAAAAAGCCTTTAAGAACTGTGTGATTTTGGGGCCAAATACTCCCAGGTCCCCACATGGCTTTTTTTGGTTGGCCCTCTTTAAAGAAAAACCTCCACTTCCTTTCCCAAGAAACCAAAA